CCAACAGCTTCTTCCCAAACGGCGGAGGCGCGACAAAGAGCTACGACAAGCTCACGAACGAGCACACAGGCAGCTGCTCCACCGGCTACTGCCCATGCGGGGCCGAGCCGACCACAGTTGCGCCAGCTATCGTGACGAGTGATGCAAGCAAGGTGAATTTTGCGTCCTTGGCAGGGCTCCTGTGCTTTGTCGCAGCTCTTGGCTGAGAGCCGAGACCAGGATTTTGTAAGAAGTCTCCCTGTGTGCTTGTGCCCGTAGCGGATCGTCACATGGAGATCTACCCGTTTTGAGTTCGGTTTCCAAGCTGCGCTGCAGGCAGTGCAGCTTTGCATGTGTTTTAAGTCTGTTCTTAACTTTGCATAACTTTGCGGCATTGCGTGGATGCGAATCCGTTGATATGGAGCTCCACAGCCGTTTGTTCTTGAGGAAGGTGGTCACTGGCCTCCGGTACTCCCCCCACCGGGTGCTGCAGCGGCCGACAACGGAAAGTGCACTTGCATGCCCAAAAGCAACTTGAGGGGTCTTGCTCCTGCATTCTCGTGTTTACCCTGCTCCTGATATTTGATGTTCATCTGTTCACTTTCCGAGGTCCAACCACTGCCGCGCCACGCTTGGCGGCTACCGCCGGTTTGCATCCCATACCCGAGCAAACGCAAGGATTTCTCAAAAGCCCTGAAGATGACTCAGATGTTCAGAAGGACCTCCTAGCCGCACTGTACTTGCCATAGATAGATGCGACTGAAAAACCAGATTATCAATAGAAATTATTTCGTTCAGATCCTTTTATTGTCCAGAATCAAATGCCCTCAGCATCCTGAAGTTATAGAAAAATATCTAAGATGAATTCGATTGCTAAAATGGAAATATATTAATCTGAAGAGAGAATATCTTTGAATAGAATGTACCTCAATATTACGAAGCGGTCATTTGCTTTCATTCCGCTCGCGCGTGGCCTAGCTTTTCCGGCTCAACTTTAAAATACCTCTTGAGGGCTCCCTAGGGGCTCTAAATTCTCGGAGATTTTAGGGCCTTTCGGAAGAGCTAGAGGCTCTAAAATCTCCGAGATTTTTGGTAGCTGCGGAGCGACCAAAAATTTCCGAAATTTTGGTCGCGTGGCCCTTGCTTCCGGAACGGTTTTCCATTCATTTCGTTTTGATTCTTGGCGCGACTATTCGGAGGAACGCGTAGACCCTTTCTTTCTTTCCTGAATATTCGATTTGAACGCATAACCTAATGATCCGATATGATACCTCTTTGCTTTTTGCATTAATAATATACGAAAAAATTTGATCTGATTTCTTTATATAATCTATCTAGAAAATTTATACATGATTTCTTGTATTCTGTATATACTATCATTTTATATTCGATATAATGATTAATTGAAATTAAATATAGATCTTACAAAAAATATGAATATAATTTATTCAAGAAAGATTTTATGAGAATGGGATAGATTTAGAGAGATATGGGGCAAAAAAGAAAAAATCGAGAGCTTTCGAAATTAAAAATTTTGAAATAAATTTGAAAGGATTCGAATTCATCCGAAATATTTGTGTTTAATCTTTCAGATTTCTTGCTAGATCCTAATTCGATCGCAAAATTAAATATAGAAAAATCTCAAATTTATCGAAAAGAAGAATCAATATTTTTTCTAATCAAAAAATCTTATCATTTCTAACGACGAAAAAAAAAGAGAAAAGAAATATCGAATAAAGAAAATTCATAATTCCAAGAATGGATTGTTAAAAGATCATTATTATTATAGATTCTTCTGTATATCCCTAATTCGCTATAGATGAATATATAAAATTCAATCTTCCAAGATATTCTAATTTCAACGACCTCAATATATTCCCTAGAGAATGATCGTAAAATGATCTGAATGAATATATAATATTCGAGATTTTAAGAGATTTTTAATCATGCAGATCTTTGATTATGCGATCTCCGTATATAGCCCGATCTTTCCGCATCTGTGGTTCGGGGAAACGCGTAAATCATAATAAATAGATATCGTCAATATATAAATTCTGAAGCCTCTTGGTTCTTTCTCTCGGATAATATCGATAAGATGCAAGAGAAATTTCAAAATATAGATCATGATTTAGATCAATATATCAAGCGGAATATAATTTCTTATGATCTTATCTTTTCAATAAGATTATATAATGAAATAATCATCATATTCGAATGAAATAATCTTAATATTCGTTCTATCTGATTCTCCTCATTGGAGATAGAATCTAATCAATTTTTCTTAGGATCGAATATCTATTTGGATATAATGGCGAAATTATCATCTAATAGAATATAATCTTATAGATATCTAAATGGCTATCATTCATAATCATATATTATTGAATAAAAAACGTATTTTTGGAATGATTTCAGATATCTCTTGAATTATCTCATTCATCTCTAAATAGATAAGAATCTAAGATGATAGATTCATAAATTGAATAATGAATGATTCTAATAGAATATAAATGAAAAATGAGAAAATCTAGATCGTTTGCCTAAATAGATCGATATTAGATTATCAAACAAATAAAATGAAATCAATAAAGAAAGAAATTGATGAATCCGAGAAATCATGAGACGCATAAATTGATTATCTGATTCATGATAATCTCATAAAGAGATCGATAGATTGAAATTATTTTAGATGAATAATTCGACGGAATTTCTTTTCAAATCATTTGATAGATAGATTATAAATTCCAGAATTCTCGTTTAGAAATAAGAATCTTCTTTCAGAATATTTTAGATTGATAGAATGAAAAATCGATAGAACCGATAGATAAAATATAATCATCACGAAGAGTCGAATGACGAAATATCTAGAATTCATCAAATCAAAAATCAATTTATTTATGATATATAGAAAAATCATCGCAAATCGATCCGAAAGAAAAATCCAGAATCTTCAAGAATAGAGATCGACCATGCCTATCTATAAAGATTTAGAATTATATATTATCTAAATATGTCGTTTATTAATCGATCATTATAAGGATAAATAAATAAAATCAATAAA